ATATATATATCAAAAATAATGTGAATCAAAAGTAATTGAATTATTATTTGTATTATTATTATTATTATTATTATTGTTATGATTATTATGAATATATTTATTATGATTGTTTTTATTAAAATATTAATTAGATGATTAGAATAATCTAAAAAAGTAATAATATAAATAATAAATTACTTTTAATATGATAATTTAGGTTCAATAGATATTTTAGTAGGAATGTATTTATTTAAAATAGAAGTTTTTCTTTATGCATTTAATATTTTTTTTCTAATTAATTCACTAGTGGCAGTTTATCTTTTTGGAATAGTTTTTTCTGGAATTTTAACAATAATTGATTTAATTTATTTTTTTAAAGTAATTTAATGTAAAGGAGTTGGTATTTTAAATGGAGGATGAAAGAATTATTAAGCTGAATTATGAAAAGATTATTATTATTATTATTATTATTCTTAATTACTTTTTATTATTTTAGATGAAAATGTTCTAATCAATCTTCTATTTGTTGAAATACTAACTTTTCCATCATCTTCCATTTATAATTTTAATATTGAATATGATTGTTTTAAATCATAATCATTACTTACAGAAACATTTATCATTTATTTATTCCCTTTCCCTCTATGTATTAATAATTATTTTGGACTACTTTAAATACTCAAACTAGATTAACTTCTATATTTTTATAATAAAACAGGATCCATTATAAACTACTTTTTTTTCTTATTAAAATTACTATATATATTATTTTTTTTTTATTTATATATTTATATCATTAATTAACTTATAAATACTTTTTTCTTTTTTATTGATTTTGTTGAAAGTATAAACTTTCTAATTTTATGATAAGTAGAGAAATTTAAATTAAGATTATTTTAAATCAAACAAAACTTATTTTCTCAACATTAATTTTAGTTTGCAGATTAATTATTATTTTTCTTTTTAATACTTGTACAAAAATCTATTTTATGTTTTATTTTAAACATCTAATTACATTTAATTATTCTGTTCTTGTTATTTAAAAATAAAATATATTTAATTTATGAGTTCAAAATATACAATATTAAATTAGATAATGATTGAATTTAAAAAATAAAATATTAAAACTTCACGATAGAAAAAAATATATTTAAATTATTCAAGCTAAATTAACGTTTTCATTTGAATGGGCCATAATAAATTTTGATCTCTTCTTTTTAAAATAATAAATAAATCAATCAAGTAGAATCAAAAATTTATTGAGCAACCATTTAAATTTGAATTAATTTGAAATTATAATGAAAGATTAGAATTTTTTTAGTATTTGAAAATTTTTATATATATTGAGTTGTGAACAATAATTTTTTAATAATATTTATAAAATGTTTAAAAACTTAATCTATGTTAATCAGTGATTTAATTTGAATTAATTTTATAATATATTAAATAAAATAATCACTTTTATAAGTGATTAAAATTGAGAGAAGTTATAAAGTTTAAAAATAATCTAATTCAAAAAAAATATTAAAAATTTTAATTGATGTGGTAATTTTTGTGAAAAAATAATTCAATTATAAAAAGCAGTTTATA